AATATCGAAAAAGAGCTGCTGGAATATATATTGTTGATGGAGGTCATATTTTTCTATTATAAAAGCATTTTTGCGATAAAATACATTGGAGTAAATAATTTTGTAATTATTTAACTTGCTTTGTACTTCCTATTTGTTTTGGGATACATTAAAGCATTTTTTAAAAACACACAGTAAGGTTCCATATTACCACCCGGTTTTCCCTAAGCCTACTTTCTAACTTTTTGTATAAAAGCCTTCAAAAACCATACTTATAGTTACACTAGCGAAAAATCCAATTAGGAACATCTAGTTTAATAGTTACCAGTACTTTTCGCACAAAAAATGTGGGTGTAGTTATGATACCTTGTTTACAATTCACTAAAATATAATTGGGATTCCATAATACCACCTTCTCCTCTATCATTTTATGAATTACTTTATGAAAGCAGAAACGAAACACAAAAAATTTTTAAATAAATATAATAAAGTGAGTTAAATGTATAAAATTTAATGAAATAAACGGACGTCCAATGAACCTCAACTCCGCCTCTCCTCCTTGTCCGACTTGTTGTAATCACACCCATCCCTTCCAGTGTGGATGTCATTTATAGACAGCCCCTAACATATATATATGTTAGGGGCTGTCTATAAATGACCCTAACATATATATATGTTAGGGTCTTGTCTTTGATGTCCAAAGCAGATCAAAGACAAGAGGTTCTTCGAACAGAAAATCGTTTCGAATAATTTTTATATTTTTTGTGCTAATATTTATTGTATAATGTAATATGTTTTCAATTTTATGTAATTGATGCCTTTGATTTTATATATACAGTATTTATTTGTTTGTTAAGTTATGGCGACGCAACACTTGGGTGGTCTGTCTAGGGGGATGCCTTCCGGGAGGTCTTTTAAGGTAAACTGGCCCTTATTTAGGCGTTACAGACGTGGAGAAAACCCAGAAAACTCCTCGTGGCCAGCCCGTCCGAGCGAGGCACGAACCCACGACTGAACTCCGAGTGTTCAGAATACGAAGATTACTAGCCACTGGTGAGCTACAGTATTTGTTAATTTTGGAGATAGATATTGACTGTTTTTCGGGACTTTTTATTTACTTGTAAAAATAAATAAACAAATAAACAAAGTATGTAACATGTATAAATATGTTTGTTAATTACAAAATCATTCTTTTAACTGGATTAACTCGTTTCTTAAAAAATATTATTTAAATTTCCCGGTAGTAGATCAATAGAAAAGAATGGTGATTTTAATAAAGAAAACGATAAAAACGTTTGTATTTTGTGTATTATTCATTTCTTATTTCGTCGCCCATTTGACGGTGTCCCGGGTACAATGGTTTAGGAAGCGTTGGGTATAAGTTTATGGAACCGAACAGCGGTGGCTCAAAAAAGTTTGATAATCACTGGTCTAGAATGTCACTTACAGGCACACTACTTGTCCTCAAATCAGCTAAAAGATCACGCTTAAGGAAAACAAAGAGGGTGGAGGGTAAAACGATCAATCAGAAGCACCGACAATCTCGGTCTTCGGCGGTTCTATGGTCGCCGTGTGCGGATTAAAGTTATGCAGCAAATCAATGGCATAGTAAGTTTTACATAAAACAGTCTCTGTCATTGGCTTGCTTACTTACCTGCTTACCACCTTGACGCACCTCGTATCATTTTATTTATAGTCTACATTTACAGCAATGAAAGAAGGAACTACAGTATAAGTCGTGAATTTCTCAAGTAAAAAATAAAAAAACCTCAAAAGTAATAATACTGTATTTATATTAATTTAAATTATAATAATATTATAATGAATTAAATATTAAAACAATAGTTCAATTGTAAAAATTTCTCATTGTTCTAAGATAACAAAACAAATATCCAAAATCTAAGAAAGCATCTCTAGCATCGAAGGCACAGTTGAAGGATTACATTATTTTCAAGGTGCTAATCACTATTGTTTTGTATTGACATCTACAACAGACATCATAATGGGTATAATTATCGATTATTAGTCAACTTTAAATAAATTTTGAAAATAATTGTAAATAAATAAACAGATAATACATTTCTGGGTACTTTCATAATATTTTTAGGTGAAAATTCAGTGGAAAATAAATCGTCTAAGTATTTAATGGTAAGTTTTATGTTACTTTTATTTTTCGATATTATTTTTACTGAATAAGTAATTAACGCGAGACACTAGCACATTACAGACAAAGCTAGCTATAATTATGCTCATTCGAAGAAATCTCAATAAGAGTGATTAGCATCGGTGTGGTATAGAAATGATGCCCTGATCTATTCCTCACCCGAGCGTATTTCCCATAAAAACTACGGGTTCGAACCCAATTCGCATAGTGATAGGCTAAAATCTTATCTTGAAGCCAAAACGAATGCTTTGAATACTTCTGAAAATTTATATACTTTTATTTTTATATTAATATTTTAAATTTAATTTTAAAATACCTTTACATAGTTACCTAGAAGTATATGGTACCTGAACGCCTTAATTAAATCAGACCTAATTTTATTTAGACTGACATCAAAATTAACCTCAGTCCATCTTTTACGCAACGAGCCTATTCACTAAAAGAGGAGTTTTCAAGCAAAAGTCTAGATGAAAAATTAAGAGGTAAATTTACTAAAAACAATATAAAGAAAAATATTTATAGAATGATTAATTGACGTCTATTTAAAGCAGGTTCAGGAAAAACTCTTCATTTGGAAGCTCTCGAAGTGTTATCTGATGAATGTCAGAAACTAATTGATAAAAGAATAAACAATCTATTGGAAAATCCGGAAGAACTTGGCAAAAAAATTGCTAATGATGCTTTAAAGAAAGCTTCAGCAGAAATGAAAAAACAGCGTAAAGAAATTCAAAATAATTTCGAAAGTCAGATGAGAGTATGTAATATAAATTAGGAATTAGGATTAAAATAAGAGTAGGGTACTACAGGTCACTTTTTTTAGGAAGAAGTCCTGAAAGCCGAAACTGAAGAAAGAGAAAATTTGTCAGGAAAAGTAAAAAACGAAAAAATGTGTGGAGAAAAGCGTTTACTTTCTGCATTAGACGAAGCACAAAAGCATTTTCGGGACCATCTAAAAATGGAAATTGAGCACATTCAAGAAGAACAGAAATCAATTTGGGAAGAAAAATTCTCGAAAATAAAAAAGTAATGTATAAATTTATTCTCGAATTTTCTTAATACGTTATGTAATAATATTATTATGTATAACAGAGAATTTGAAGATAAAATGAGAGATATTAGTGAAGCAGCGGCTCGTAACAAAGAACGACGTATAACTCAAATGAGGGAACAGTATCAGAAGGAAACAATGGAATTTTTAAGACAATTACGAGCCGAAGAGCAACAACGTCTGAATTGTAGAATCTACAAACAAAAACAAGATCAAGATTCAGATATCAATAAACTAGAATTAAAGATAGATAAACTTGAAAAAGAGATGCAAAAATTAATGAGCTGTTTGAAAGAAACGCTGAAGAGGAAAGCAGAAATCGAAGCAGAAATTACAAAAATTAAAAATCTGCTAACGCAGTTCGTAAAATTAGCGAGTAAAACCGAAAAAGATCCAAATTACAAAGCGAAAATTGGAGAGATGCTCAAAAGAGCAAATATTGATTGTTAATTAAAGAAATAAATTTTTAAACATATTATTATTTTTCTTTTTTGCTCTTTTCGCTCTTTTGGCGCTTAGATGACCTTATATACGAGGGCTGTTTTTTAAATAAGGTCCGTTTGTGAATGAGAGTGAGAATGACGCGCGATTGCAGCAGTGTGCATGAGCATCTGCTTTCAGAATGCTTTGCGCGTGTTTAGATGACATTTGCAGCCGTATCGTTTGTCTGTGTGCTGAACTGTAGAAGTTTATAATGTTTAAAAAGATTGAGTCGCCCGCCGACTGTAAGATACGATCTGTTATTCGATTTCAACACGAAAGATCATGGTAACTGTCTTTTGGGACAGGGAAGGGACTTTGTTAGTGGATTTTATGCCAAGAGGCACAATAATCAATTCTGATGCTTATTGTGATATCGAGAAAACTCTACCGTGCCATACAAGATAAATGGCGTGGCCTAATGTCTTCCGGCGGCAGGTGGCAGATTTCTTTGAAGTCGGAATTGAAAAAATTTTTTAGCGGTATGACAAATGTTTGAACAAAAATGGAAATTATGTAGAAAAGTAGATAAAAGTATGTAGAATATGNCCCGCCGACTGTAAGATACGATCTGTTATTCGATTTCAACACGAAAGATCATGGTAACTGTCTTTTGGGACAGGGAAGGGACTTTGTTAGTGGATTTTATGCCAAGAGGCACAATAATCAATTCTGATGCTTATTGTGATATCGAGAAAATTCTACCGTGCCATACAAGATAAGCGGCGTGGCCTAATGTCTTCCGGCGGCAGGTGGCAGATTTCTTTGAAGTCGGAATTAAAAAAAATTTTTAGCGGTATGACAAATGTTTGAATAAAAATGGAAATTTTGTAGAAAAGTAGATAAAAGTATGTAGAATATGGGAAAAAATATATTTTAATGATATTTACAGTATTTTTCTTCTTATTGAAAAACGGACCTTATTTAAAAAATAGCCCTCGTATATATATATCGGGTTCGGTCAGGCTACAATGAGGTTACTGACTGATGAGGGACGGTGCCCGACACATTCGGAACGAATCGTCCAAGAAAAAAAATTCTCAAATAAGTTTTTGGATTCCTCATTTTTATCATTTACATAAATATTTTCTAAACTTCTTACCAGTAAACCGGCTTCTTTATCTTTCTGTTTTTCAAATACTTAAATTAAAAATCGATTTTAAGAAAAAAAATTCTCAATGCTTCCACTCAAAAATTGTAAACAGTCATTGTACATTTTTATTTTAATGAAAAACTAATATAACTCTACTTTTACGACTTCTATAAATATTCTAATATAATTGTATGAAATGCTGATATATTTTGGATATTTTTTGCTGAATAGTTGTGTAAAACTGATGAGATTCTTTAATTAATTAATGGTGTATTTATTGTAAATGCATATACATGAACTGTGTCTATACAGGCTGCTTTAAATCATGTATACTACACAAGATGCGCATATGTCGTTTCTTGAGATATCAGCCTATCGCTTCTTTAAAATATTCTCTTCGCCTTGTGGGTACCAAGAGGACCTTTTCCAGCAAAATCATTATGGGTTCGGTCAGGCCCAAAATAGTGCTGCGGGTGGTAAGGGACGGGGCCCGACGACATATCTAGATTGACCATCCAAGAAAAATTTCTGGAGTTAGGGGTGCTCCGTTTTTCACTATTTGGCTGCCCTATTTTAGGCTTAGTCAAACCCTCGATGGACTTGATAAAAAGACCTCTCTTAGTTTCTACAGGGCGGAAAAAGTTTATGAAAAAGTATATTTATAAAGAATTGGACTTTTTTATGTTTCCGTTCTTCTCGGTATTACAAGAAATTTTATATATACTGTAAGGTCTCTTTTTATGCGGATTATTTTGAATAAAATACACTGTTTATTGTTGTGATATAACAAATCAATTCCAGAACTTAAAATAACAAAATAGATTATAAAAACTAAGTAAATATAGTATATATATAATTAAAAATAAACTTCTCTTTTAGTCAGTTTTGCTAAATGGCAAAAAGAACTTATATTTAAATAAGTATATAAGCATTAATTTAAGTATATTTAGCTTGAAATATTAATAATTTTCTTTAACATTTTAATTTTATTATTACTCCAATTTTATAAGCAACCATAAAAAATTAAACATTATCACTAATAACAAATCTGGCAGATTGTTTGGAAATACTAAACAACAAATTTATATAGTCAGAACTACAAAAAAATCTATAAACTGAATTGCTATTATTATTATGCATGTAAGATCTGGATAAAAAAAATTAAAATCAGAATTTAAAAATGTCTCATATTTATTAAAATTCATATATCTGTTATACACAAAAAAAATTAAAACATTAAATTATCTAATTAGAAAGTAAAAATTTCTAAAAACTTATTTTTAACAAATAAGACTTATACAAAAATAAACAGTCCTTTTTTAACTTTCTGCATCACATAATTTCTATGTATAAAACAAAAGTCTATATATATACATTACACAATTCCAACATTTTTTGACAAAATTTCAAACTTGTTTTTCAAATACTTGTTTTCAATATGATATTTTAAATGTAAAAGATATCGATAATAATATTTTAAACATAAACCATAACCCCATGTTCAATTAACCATAGACCAAATTGATTATTTAATAAATAGCATTATAACTATGTTATGCCTGTATAAATTATTATAATTTGTGATAATCCAGTTTTTAGGTTTTAAATAACACTTTAACAAAAAACATTAAAAATATATATCATAGAATTATGATTATTTTATGAAATTTCTCAGTTTTGTAAACATAAATAAAAATAAAATTATTAACTAAATCTAAAATAAAATCTAATCAAGAAAATTAAACTATTTTTCACTCATAAACATTTTTATTAAATGAACTTAAAACACTAACCTTAAATACTTCAAAATATGAATTATAGCCTAATACTATGATAGAAGACTTAATAAGGTAATAATAATGACAAGTAAGAAAGGCATTCAAATCAATATGTTTACATCAAGAAAATATTTAACATTAATTTAATTAGCTATAATTTTTTAATACCAACTGCTTCATATGATAATAGTTTTAATGTTATAAATCACATACATGGCCTATAGGCCATAAAACAAAAATTGTATATATAGCTTTCAAATAACACAAAAATTGTATTTTAAACTAAACAACAAAATACTAAATAAAAACAATAAAATCATTTCCAAATTTAATGACTATTTTTAAAAAATCTTCGTATTAAAAAAAACAAACTACAAATTATACTATTAATTCAATTTGTTAATGGTTGTTTATTTAGATTATACAGTATAATTTATTGTATATTTGTTTATATTTATTTATAAAGAAGAAAGACATTATTCAACAGTTTAAAAAAATATAAATAAAAATTTACTTTAAAAAAATAATCCTTAAAACAGACTAATATTTATCAGATGTATACTTGCTTTGTAATATAAAATAGATAATTTTGTATACTTACTTTGTATACCAAATAGATAATTTTGTAATTTGAAACTCTATTATTATAAAAATATATTTATCTTTTTCTTTTTTTTATTTAAACCTTTTTTTTTAATATAAAAGAATAAAACTATTTTTACTTTAAAATATTAAGTGTTTTCAACTCAACAAATTATATCTATTTAGTAACTGAATAAAATTAGTTAATGATTAGGGTAATTTGGCACTATTTTGCTTGTTTTCAAATTCTATTTCAATACACAAAAAAAGCTGACACCAGGAAAATTTAACCATTTGTGATTATATAAAACAAGTCCCTAAATTTAAAAATGGCCTTAGGATGATGATCTTAATTAAAATCGTATAAATAACGAAAAAAATCAATTTCAGATACAAATTCTGCAATAATATAATCAGAGTTATTGCTTCGAAATCAAAATGTTTACAAAACGTCCATTCATTATTATTTATAACTGAGCTTTTAAATAAGAATATTTGATTAAAATTGATCTTTTTAAGCAAGAAAATTAAAAATTTACAGATAACCTTTTTAGAATTTCAAAGTTATTGGACATTTCAACAAAGTTACCGAAAATACATTAGCATTCTTTCAATTTCAATTACTTGTAATATATATTTAAATCTCAAAATATTTTATAGGTTACATTTCACCAAATAAATATTTTATGCACATGAGTGTATAGAAACTTATATTACTATTAAACAAGCTTAATTCACAGCACATATAAAGTAGATGATTAGATTTTTTTTGTTTATGTCAGAATTATTCGATTGGATGGAAATCGTTAAGGTAGAAACATAAGATATTCCGTGTATTTTTTTTCGTATTTATACAATTGTTTTAAAATTAACAACAGTCGACATTCATTGAGTGGAAGCGAGAAACATTTAATTCCACTGGTTTGAATTACAGCAAATGCATTTAGAGAAACGGAAAGATTTCGCGGTAAATCGATGGTGAACGTAATTTTCGCCTTTTAAGAGGGCAAACGGATAAATATTTCGTGTAATTTGATTAAACAGAATCTTACCCGTATCCATGCTTCTTGTATTCGACTTTGTGCCCTTTCATCTTAGCTTTTGGTCCTTTTGCTCTCTTCTTCTTGGCCTGTATGGCCATGACTGAAACGCAAAAACGTCCGTCACTAATTTAATTCTTTATTAAGCTTCAAATAACACATACACGATTTTATTTATCCCATACCTCGTCGATTCCAATCTGCATTCATCTTGTCTTTCCAATTCGTTAGGTTTCGTGAAATCACCACTACGCTTGCGCGTATGTATCTTGTAAAAACCTGAATACCGCACGGAATGCTTATAATGTTGCCAGTTGGTCTGGAAAAATAAATTCGAATCGTCGTAAACACTTTTTTGCAGATTTATAAACGTAAATAAGAGCCAAAATTTTTATTAAAATTTAATAAGTTAAAATATGTTTTAAGTTAACTTCTCGTTAGTTTAAATGGGAAAATTTTGACGGTTAAGGTGGAAGCCTACCGTTCTGGGGATTCGGGTTCGAATCCGGACGGGTCGAAAAATCCCCACGAATTTTTCGGGGATGATATGTCGTTACCCGACCCTCACCACCCGGCTGCCCCATTGTGGTCCTGGTTAACCCATAATGGACTTGCTATAAGAGGTCTTCTTAGTTCCCACAGCGCAGAAAGAGCGCGGCCGGATGGCCGAGCGGTCAAGATGGCAGCCTACCGCTCTGGAGGACCCGGGTTCGTCCGAACGGGTCGAAAAAATCCCCAGGAATTTTTCGGGGGAAGTCCGCTCAGATATGTCGGGTCCCGTCCCTCACCACCCGACAGCCCGATTGTGGCTCTGGCCGAACCCGTAATGTGCTTGCAAAAGGAGGCACCGATTTTAAAGAGTTACCGAGGTCTAAAAACGTAATTCATTTTTTACTTACGCTTACGTATACCAAGATAACAACCATTTACAAGAAAAAGAAAAATATATTTAAATGTTCTAACACACCCTAACCAGTTTTTAAACATTATAATAATAATCACTGCTTACCGTTTTATCGAATTTTATAAAATACACTGTGTGAAAACACAATAAAATTATAACAATGTAATGAAATCATTAATATATGTCATTGAATACTTCGCCGTGCGCAAAATAAAGAAAATGTAATAAAAAAATGCAAAGAAATCTGATTCAAAAATAGCTTACTAAAAAGGAAGATAATAGATTGGATCTGGGTTTGGCCAGGACAGTTCTTGAATCATAGCATCGTTCGGGATTGCGTCCGGAAATGAAAACATCTATTATCTCAT